TTAAAAAAAAAAAAAAAAAAGATTGAAGACTGCAGGGGGGAAAAAAAAAAGCATAGAATAAGCCAGTGGCAAAATAATTCTCATTAGCTTCATAGTCTGACAATTGGACACTATGAGTATCACATATTCTAAATCTTTATAAAATGTAAAGATAAAAATATCTGAAAGGCCTGAGGACACATTCTTAAGATCCCATAACCATATAGACTCTTGTTATATAGCCAGGGAAAGAGCACAGAAAATAACTTCCCAGGAGTGAGTCCATTTCCTGGGTTTTGGTTTCATCACTCTCATTGAATCCCACAATATTGTTCCAAGGCTTTTTGTCAGTGTATACACTTTAAATCAAAATTCAAAAGAAAATGGTTTGATAGCCTATGGGTCTGGGAGATGTTTAAAGCTATTGTTCTTCTCATTTGGTTTTTGAGCATTCTCTGAATATTTTCTCCTCCTCAGCTTTCTATTGGTCCATTCTTCACAGTCTTTCTCTGTTGATTCTCATCACCCCTCAGGATGTCCTCTTCGGCCAGACAGAGTTGAAAAGGCTTCAGGCCAGATATCTTTGTTCTACAAAGACTACATAAGTCTTCTTCGTCCAACCACCTTCCTCTGCCAACCCTATACTCCTATAGAGTTCCCAGCATACACTGCTGATTGATCTCTACCTTCTTACCCACTGAATCTACCTGGAGCCTTAGAATATTTGTACCATAGCTCTTTAGACATCCACTACCCAGGAAGCAGATGAAACCCATATGATCCACTGCTCTTGGGCAAACACTGCAAGTTGTGGTTCACATTATAATTTAGAATTGACTCCTTACCAAAGAAAACAATTAAAATGTCCTAGGACCACTTTGAGAATAAAAGGAGCACTATACAAGTCTGTTTGGTATAAAGGGAAAAGAACACTGAAAACTAGATTAGCACAAATCTCTTCAATAAGAGGTGAGAGGGGATGGGGAAAAAATAAAATGGCATTGATAACTGACAAGTGCCATGACACTGCTTCTTGGTTCAAAGCATGGGCTTTAGAGGTAAGACTGCCAAGGGCTGAATTCTGGCACATTTTATTAGTGCAATAAATTGGGCAACTATTTCAATCTCTTAGAGTCTCCGCTGTCTCATCTGTTCTATGGTGATAGTAATGGAATATATATGAATGTGTTTTGGTAAGAATTAAATAATTCACATAAAGCTGTTATATGTAGCCAAACATAATTGTCACTGTATAGCTCAATACATGCTGGTTTCCATCCTCATTATTCATAAAAATTTTTAAATTATTCTTTGTCATCATTCAAAATCCAAACTCAAATGTTGCCTCATTACCCACAATTATCTGCTTTGTCTTGAAGATTTTTGTCATTAGGAGAGAAGAGATCACTTTCTGTTTTTGGATTGTTTGCTTATGTAAACACTATTAATTCTTCAAGTTTCGAGTTTGAATTTCACTTCTCTTTGCCTTTTTCTTTTTCATCCCACCCCCAGCACTATGTAGGACACATAAGTGGAAATATTTCTTTCCAGTTCACAGAACCAAACGACCCAAATTTTGAAGAAAAATATTTTCTGATTCTGATATTGTTGTAGTATGTTATTTTTTGGGCCAGCTACCTGATATCTCTGAATCGGTTTCCATTTCTGAAAAACAGGAATTGTTTTTAGTTCTAAAATTACTGCAACCATTAAATAAGTTAATATATGCAAAGTGTTTAGAATAGTGTGTGGCACATAATGAATAATAAATGTCAACTGCTGCTTTTATTATTCTAATTATGGTCTTAAATAACAATTATGGTTGCCATTGATTAAGATGATGATAGATGAGCCAGAAAAAGAGGAGGAAAACTAGAAACTAAAGAAAAAAGCAAAAGGAGAATACAATAATAAAAACAAAGTAATAAGCCGAAATCACAGCTACTTGATTCCCCATGGAAGAGTCCAAACCCCAAAGGAGTCTCAAAGAAGTGTGCTGACCTTTTCGAGCTCCTGGGAAAAGTGAAACCCCATACAAAACAATGCTGCTACTGGGATGGGTTTCATTCTTTTTTTTGCTCATAATTATGGTTATTTGGGAGAATTATTCAGTGTCACCATTTTATATAAGCTTCTGTGTGTAATCTTTTTTTGTGTTTATAGTACAGTATGTTAGTTCTGTGCCCCTTAGGCCTACAAAATGAAAACAGATGCTGCCATGTATAGAATTGAAGGAAAAACTTGCAAAAAGTTGGTATGTTTTTAGAACAGAGTCAGATATACTTGCTTAAAATTACTTTTGAAATGCACAAAGGTAAGAGGGCTCTTACTAGTTAGAAAAGATTGAGTAACAGCTTAACTGTTTTATTATTTTTCAGCATCTTAGTACCAACTAATTTTATGCTCACTCAAGAAATTTTTTAAAAATTTGATTTAAGGAATGCTTTTGGCAATAAATGGTAACCAATGCCATTTTTTAATATAAATAAAAGATACTGTCCTCAAGTTTAAATCTAACAAATCAAAATACCAGAAGAAATATTTCTCAAATTTATCTGTCTTCCTTATCTATTTTGCATCAATCACAGCTAATCTTAGATATGTTTTGGTTGTAGGCTTGGTTTAAGATGATTTAGTTTAAGTCTATTGCCTAAGAACTGAGTAGATAACATTTGGCTCTCAGGTATACTTGATGCATATTAGCTGATGTCCAGGCACACAGGTCAAATATAATTTCTCCAAGTCAATGAATGGTGTTGGGCAGAATTATCTGGGTTGTGTGTCATTCCACTGGTTCTTACCTAAGAATAGCCAGAGAAATGTAGAAAGCAGAGAGAGGGTGAGAAGCAGAGATGGAGAGAGACAGAAAGAAAGAAAAAGGAGAGACTAAGGCAGTAAGAATAGAGAAACTGAGAAGCGAAGGACTGTCTTACTTACGGCTGTATCCTCATGTCTGGGAGATATTCTATAGCCATACCATGAACCAGAGATTCCCAACCCCTAGTCTATGATGGTACTGGTCTGTGGGCTGTTATGAGAGGCTGCTCACACAGCAGGAAGTGAGCAGTGCAAGCTTGCTAAGCTTCTGTGCTTGTGCCTCTCTCCCAGCTCCTACACTCTTGTCGGACCATCGGGCATTGCATTCTCAAAGAAGGAGGAATTCTACTGTGAACCGCTATGCCTGTGACTATTGCTGTTTATTGCTTAGGGGAAATTAAGTGTTAAATCATCAGAAATATAAATTACTTAATTATCTCAAATTTAAGATTATACACTCACATAAATGTAAAGACATATATAAATTAAAATATAATCATACAACTAGATGAAATATGAACATTATTGATGTACACACATATATACAGATATGTACATATATGAATATATACATATATACATGTACATACATATATACATGTATATACATATCTATACACACACACTATTTTTTCTCTCTGAGAAGTAGAAAATATTGCTATGAGAATGTTAGGATTCAAGCTCACACAGGATAACCATCTGTTTGCAAGCTAAAAGACTTTGCTTCCTAAACAAACACTATAGGGTTGACATTAAGTGCCTCTAGCTCACCCTTACCCCTAGTTTGCATTCCCAACAACTCTCTGTCTCCTAAAACCCTGAAATAAGAGAGTATGTAGCTCTAAGAATTATTGTATTTAACCTCCTCCTTAGCCATTTTAAATACATGAAAACAGCTCTGCCAACTCACATTTTTAAATAATAATAACAAATATTTGTACCCAGGATATTTACTATTGATAATTTATCAACATGTCATCTGTCAAACTTATTGGTTCCAATATGGGGATGACAATATATCAGTTAATAAACATAATGTTTCTCTACCCAACTTTATGGAATTTCTAGGTGCCAAGAAGCAAAAATAGTTAATTAATTCACTCTTTCATTCAATTAATAAATATTCACTGAATACCTTTTATGTATCAGAGCACAGTACACTGTTTAGCAAAAAAAATAAAAAGAGAATCAGAAATGAATACAACTGGAAAAATTCCAGGTTAGAGGTTTTGGTAAGAGTTTGGTTCTATTGCCAGTAGAAGACAGTCTATCAAAAACAAGACAAAAAGTATTCATATATAATTCAACATACATTCTTTGTTATCTACTCTTTGCCCATTAATCATCATGATGATGTGAAAAGAAATACTTTGTAAGTCCTCATTTTTGCTAAGCATTTAACAAAGTTTTATATTCCTTTCTTGTTGTTACTAGGAAGAAATATGGGCTGGAATTTAAAGTTGAATCATTATTTTAGAGTGAATTAGTCAACAAATGTTTGTTTTCTTCATTCTATGCACTTCCTGTTGTGAAATTATCTGGATGAAAAAGACTGAAGTCCTGGCTGTCAGTGAGCTAGTAATCTATCACAGAAGGAAGAGAACTACAAACAGAATACAAAACAGTTAACAATTAAGTGGCATAAAGAATGTGATAGCTAACGGTTGTGGGGCCACTGTGTTCTCTCTTGCCTAGAGGGCCCATCCTCATGCTGTGGGGTATACTTCTTTTCCTGCTTTTACTTGGCCCAAACTCACGCTGCAGAGCCTATTTCTTTTCCTACCTCTAATAAATCTTTGCTACTGTTAAACCAAACCAAACCAAAACAATGGCTGTGGAAGTTCAGAGGATAGATAATTCAGTTTGGATGGTCAAGGAAAACTAGGCTTTTAGTATTCAGATTATATTACAAAAGAGGGAGAATTTCAACAGTTAGACATGGTATTCCAGCCAAAGAGATTACAAGCAGAGATCCTATGGAAATTGACAATAGTTTAATTTGCCTAAAGGTCAGCCATATAGTTGTCATAGTGAAAAATAAACATTAGAAATTTGAACTTGATGCCCGATGACAGTGATGTTGAACCTTTTAGAGACTAAGTACCAAATTAAAACCTCAAACCCACTTATTCATTGGAAAAGTGCCAATGCTGCAATTAAACCTGCATACTGGGGTTTTAGCATAGAGAAAACAACTTACATATAAACACATTTTGTCTTAAAAGAAAAATACAATAACATTCATGTCATAAGTTCTCCACCACTGCTCTACACCTTGGAAATTAGTAAAGATTTCTGATCAGAAGGAAAATAGTACTCATTATTGTATTGATTTTATTGGATTTGGCTTGAAAGAGTTTCTATAGGGATCGGCACCTTTATTATATATTGAATGAGATGTAACGGGCATGCTGACAAAAGGAGAAACTGAGGAAGAGGGATCTGATAATCCATTGTTAAGTCACAAGAACAATTTCTAGTTTGAACAGATTACTGCCCCTGACTTTCCCCAGAAATCTTTACGTTGCTATATCCAAACTTTACTAATCCATTAGTAGACTAAATAGGGAAAAGCAGTTTTTCTAGTTTGAAGCAAGCAGGTCAACCAAACATGGTGGCACATGTCTGTAGTCCTGGCTACTTGATAGGCTGAGACAGGAGGGCTCATTGAGCCCAAGAAACTTGAGGCTAGCCTGGACAATATAGTGATTCCCTGCCTCTTAGAAGAAGGAGAAGTAGAAAGGGGGTTGGAAGAGAAGCACACAAGTCAAGCCACTTGTTCTGCCTCACAGAGGTAAACAGGAGTGGTGGGAACCAAACCTCCCATATGCATCTTCAGCACACCTTATGTTGACTTTGTCCCACAACACGTTACTCTTATAACCAGCTCCATAAGCACACTCCCTTGGTACCTTTCTCTTGTTACTACCACCGTGAAAACCGAAGAAGAAAGGTCAAAAATGGGGAAGAGGGACACAGGAAATCGAAAGCTGTTTTGCGTCTCCGTCCTTATTTTGACCCTCATATAAAACACTGTGAACTTACAGTTGTTTTGCAGGAGCTTGTCCAGGGAATCCCGCCACTGCAGGACCTCATCCGGTGAGGGTCTAAAGCAAGAACAAGGATAGAAAAAGGTGATGACAGAAGTGAGAAGTTTACCAAATATACAATGACTTGACCTGTTCTTAGAAATAATACAATTGATCACCTACCCTCAGGAAAAGAATACTTGGCTTTTTTCTAACTGGGTCTGGTTAGCTGGTTTGCTTTCCTATACCTATATAGTACTGTATATCTTCCTTCCTTTTTGAGCAATTTGGTAAAGTCTATTCATTTTCAGAAATAGACTCTATTAGCCATGAAGTTATGTCTTGAGATCTCTGCATATCCCATGACAATGGCTCCAACTGTGGTCTTTATTCCAAACATAACTTAATGAAATCCAGTTGACTTGCTATAGGGATGCTCATTAACAACTTGATTTAATTAGTGAAGAGGATTTGGTTCCACAGCTGTATCCCAAGGCTGGCTTATTAGGGCTAGTGGCAGATGGTATGTATAACTTTGCCTCATGTCGGGAGTGTAATCATAGCAAGCATATATATATATATATATTCCTTGCTCAATTGGGACAGGGTGATACTTTAGAAAGATTCAGAAGAAAACTGGTCAAAACATCCTGAATCAGAGTGTTGTACACAAGTGTTTGGGATGCTGACTCAAAAGAAGGTAACAGTCAACAATTTCCTGTTAGGCTGCTTTTATTTTAACATTTACAAATGCAGGAATCCACAGCCTTTTCCATTTTAACCACCCATTCTCCCACAGATGTTCCAATGGACCCAGTGCTGCCTGAGAAATGGCCAACTTCCCCCACCCTGAACGCTTCCTGTGTTGTGTCCTGAACTCTTCATTGACAAAGCCTTTATTAGACTATGAAGTCCAATGGAAATGTTTTTCCCAAGTTGGGATATTTTGTAATTCATATCATTTATCGACCATCCAGGTAATCCAGGAAAATTCTTGCTTCTAGTTTTTATGAAATATTTTTGGGTTTTAACTATTCAACTTAGCAACTGAAGTTAAGACAATTCCTCAACCTACTCTTCACTTTGCTGGCTCAGATTCAGCCTCATTTTATCTATATAAAGAGTCCATGACAACAGTAGGTGTTTTGACTAAAGAATTGTGACAATTCCCTAACTCCTCTGTTCTGCATTGCAGAATATGTGCAGATTGTCCTGAATAAATGATTTTTCCTAAAGTTTTGTGTTTACACTTTGAAAGTTAAACTCAGCAAAACCAAGGACAACAAATGTGGTGAAATAATCTTATGTGATTTCTGCTTTTCTGTCCAGAAGTATAAATATTATGGATTTACTTGTAACAAGTAACTACTTTCCCTCCTTCAACTTTCCTCTAGCTTATATAAAGAGACATGAAAAGTATATAAACATGTATAAAGAGAGGAAAATTGCATGACTATGGGGTTACAAGTGTGTTCCTGTATTTTTCTGGTTCATTTTCTTGCTAACCAAAAAAAGTGGACATATTTTCTACAGGTCAGTAACTCCTTTTGGTTCTTCTGTATTACTTTATCCTGAGAACTTTTCCTAAATATTATTTCATGCCTACAGATTTAGCACAGGCCTTTCCCATCTTAATTTCTTCACTACAGTGGGTTTAATATTTTGCACATAATAGACAATCACTAAGTCCAACAGTTCACAGGACGGACAGGATAATAAATTACTGAACAAAATAAATTAGCTCAGAGCAAACAGCTAGTTTCATCCACTGAATTGTCTCATTTTATAAATATTGTCATAGATTGATATCACACTCCTGCCCTTTTCATCGCTCTGGTTGGTTAAGAAGAGCCTAGGAAGGAGCAATGACATGAACAGGTGCACCAAACTTAAGCACGTTACTAGATCCAATTTGTCTCAAATAGTATTATTAGAACAAAAGTAATGGTCAGTATTAGCCTCATATCACAGCTGAAATTAAATTCCTTAAAAGGATATGTGCATAGCCTGTTTGGGGGTGATATTAGTCCACATTGATTTTAGGACATAGTCAAGCAAGGCATGTCTCCCACGGTGTGTAGCCTAGTGTTCTGATTAGCAGCCTAGGAGGTAGCAGCGGTTCATCCTGTCCTGTTTCTCAGAATTTGCCAGCCCTCATTAAATCAGACTTATTTAGAAACAAGATAGATGCAGGTCTAAATGACCAATAACCATCCTGGCTTGCAGGTCACAGCTGACCCTAGAGGGTAGGCTATGAGTGATTATAAGGGAGTGAGAGGAAGCTAGGTCAAATGAAAAGCAAAATAAGCACTTAAGAAATGATTAACTATGGTTTTTTTTCTGAGGCTCTATGAAAATAACACCCAGTTTAGAAAGTGACCATCTTGGCTTGAAGTGCTCTTTTTTTTCACTCTTATCTCATTTTACTTGTTGAACCTTTTTCATGACTTTGGTACACCCACTACCTATAGAAATACCTTGTCATTCATAGAGAACTTTCGTCACTCTACCATATTGTATTGTATATCTCCAACAATATGAGTGTATAATAAATGAGTCTTTTTGTGAAAAATCAAATGTGTATGTACAATTTTTGGCCTACATCAAAATATGGTAGATTTTCTTTACCTTCACCCAGCCCCAACCCATCTGTCTCCCATCCAAGGTGCTCCAGTCACTGTTGGCTATGAGATAAGGGCTCAATAAACATTTATGGACTTAAGAATAGTCAGGAGCAGGATGCAGTACAGGACACCCTACAATAAATGTGTCAAAATGATAAGGAAATGAATGATGGCTCATTTTTCCCAGAGTTATCCTGGCTGTTGAACGCTACAAATGACTCAAAACTTATACTTCAACGACTAGTCCAATGAACCATTACTACACGTGCTGGCAACTCTGACATGTATTGGCTGTAATCATGAAAAATGTTTTAACTTCTCTAAGAACCAACTGTTGAATTATGCTTTGATTTTGAACCTACACAGTACCTGGAGTGTATCTAAATTTCCCTGATAATCAATGCTGCCATATGTTCTTGTTGTTGAAAGGTGTAAATGAACCTCAAATTGTTAATGGCATTTGCAAGTGCCTACTCTGCTCTCCCTTCCTGCCCTACAGTGCTTTCTGTTCAAGTCTCAAGTTCATGAATGTTTATTGAGCTTTTACCCCGTAGTCAACAGTGACATGGGCATTATTAATGAGTTACTTTTAAAGGCTACTTTTCAATGTCCATACGGAGACCAAAATTGCATGTATGTCTTTATTCCTCACATCAAGGCTTACTTTGAAGTGAAGTGGGTGACAATATACCATAACTTTTCTTCACTAGCAGGCTAGTGTGGAAGTCATCCTCGAGTTCAAAAGTGGTAACAACCACCACCATCACAACAACAAACGATGAAAGACTGATGGGATGGGAGAAGAGGACATTTATGGTATAAAGAAATACTATAAGAATATCTATTTCTGCTCTTAACATTTTGCAATTGATTATATAGTAAGCCATGGAAACATTTATCATAAACTTATATAGTTTATTAATTTTGTTTATTGCTTTTTAGGAAGACCTACGTCAGACCTTAGGGAATACTCAGATTCAGAGAACAGGCCAAAGTGGAAGAATTTAGAGGAAAAGAAGGAGGGGAAGAACACAGGATCACAGGATCAGAAGTTAAAGAAGAGTGTTTGGTCAAGGAGGTAGACAGTAGTCAATGCCGCAAAAACTCAAAGATGATTCTTTTGAGATAACCGGTGAGGAGGTAAAGTTTAAATCTGATAAGGAGATAAAGCAAATATTGGAAACTGAGTATAAACTTCTATTTTTGGAGTGAATGAAAGCAAGAGAAAGGCATAAGAATAGAAACAAAGAAGGGCTGGGAAAGTATTTATCAGAGTGGATATAGGTACTTGTTACTTCCTAATGGAAATGGTTGAGAGAGAAAAAGAGCAATTAAGAAAATTGAAATGATAACAGAAGCTAGCTTTGGGTGGTAAGGATATAGTTAGCTTTTCTCTAAATTTTTTAATGGTCCAAATTTTTAATCAAATGAGAATTTAAAAGTGCCTTAAAAATAGAAAATACTCCTAAAAAAGGAATTATACTGATGTTGACAGCTGTAAAAAGGTGGGGAAGGGGAGGATAAAAATACTTTCAGTCAAGAGAAGGCTTATTTTCTCTTCTGCAAGAAGAGAATATGCAGGGAAGTTTTAAAGTAGAGAAGAGATTAACAGAGTGCATGAAGAACATCAGTTTTCCTTGTCAGGTAAAAGGCACTGAAATTTGCCCAAGAGACATGGAATGTAGTTTAAGGGTTCAGAGGACAGGGGGAAGCTCTTTTATTGGTCACTGTTAAAAATGCAGTTGACACATTCAAATATTCCCTAGGGATATGAAAGCTTTTTCTAAAAACAGTTCAAACTTCGGGAAAAAGAAAGCAAAAGGAAGACAAAAGAAGCAAGTAATCCAGTAAATGTCATGCCCAGGTTTCTTCCAAAATAGTTTTTCTCTGCATCCCTTAAGCCAAATAGTTCAAGTGCTTATGTGGGTTGTTAATGTAGAAAATTAAGGTAGGAAATGTACCACTATATTTTTTAAAGTTAATCCCAACAAATCAATAATCATCATGTTGTTTACTTCAAAATAGACCTTTTAATCTGTTGCTGCTAAAAAATGTGGTTCTTACTCTCCACTAGTGCTTGCTGCTGCTTCACATACAATTAGCTTCTCCCTTTTAAAGGGAGAAAATTCAGTTAGACCTCACTTCCAGATTGAGATCACTTTGAAGTAATAAAAGAGAATGGAAATAGCCACTTAGGTTGATGAAAATGACTTTAAAAAAGAACATCTCATTTCTATATCCCCTAACCAGTCCAACTGTATTAAATTGAAGGTCACTGGGACAAAAGACTGGTTGACCAATTCACACAAATGTTAAATTTAAAAAGAGAAATCCGAGTTAAAAGTCACTGCTATTTTCACCACAGTTCTGTGTTCTTGAAGGTTTTAGATAGCAGACTGAAGGAGTTTGAACACATTTTGTTTTTCTTCTACCTCGTTTCCTGATTTTTTATGGTTATCTCTGTCTTAAAGGGAAGATGGAGTGTATTTCTTTAAGCACGATGGCAGTATGTGGGGCAGAGGTGGTGTACTAATGAGAGGGTGAGAGATCCCTTTCAGGAATATTAATTTATAGATTGAAAAAAATGTCCAGTGTGCATTAAAGAGAAATAGTCAAGTACTCAATCCTCCCTTAGGTAACAGTTGTTTCTTCCCCTGTTAGACCTAGATGGGACACTATACTGGAGAAGAAACTGTTTATCTTAAATTGCTTCTTTTCCTAGAAAAAAATGTGAGAGAATGAAAAGATGAAAATAAAGTGTTTGTAGATGGGGAGGGGAGGAGGGGGTGAAGGGAGGGCAGAGGTAAGGGGAAAAAATGAGAATCAAGACTTGCCATGTAAAGGTACATGATCCCAACAATGAATGTAACTGTACTGTATCCCTAAATGTACCAATAAACTCAATAAAAAAAAAAAAATTGCTTCTTTTCCTTAGCATCTTCCTGGGAAGCAGCTCTGATTTGCATCCCCATCTTGAGGTGGTGGCCTTGGAGAGTACCTTATCAGATAAGCATGCAAGGCTCATGATTAACTGGATCAGGGATGATTTCCTGATCCAAGGCAGTAAATGATCATTTATTTTTGCCACAACTTTGTGGGTAAAAAATTGAGAAGATGGCCGATGCCATTTTATAAAGTACGAGCTGTCTTTCCAATGGTAAGGCAGGAATATATTTTTAACTTTTTAATTAATTTTTATTTTTAGTATTTTGCCAGTATCCAATATTATACAACAGACATGGAGCAGTAAAAAAAAAAAAAAAAAAAAAAAATGTACTTTTCTTCAAAGCAACTCCCTGAGGCCTTTTATGATACTCAGTGAGTAATGGAAGGGGATAGTTCTACAGATGAGGGATGGTGCTCTACACTTGAAAAATAGCCATCATCTAGAAGACAATGAGTGAAGTCCATATTTATGACTCACTTTTGAGTCTTGGCTGGTTTCTCCAGCTTCTCATTGTACGGAATGACAAGGTCAAGAGCTGAGTCTGGCTTCTGGAGAAGAATTCCCAACTTGATCTTAATCTCCTTAGCCCTGAAAGAAGAGATATGAAGAGGAAGTAAGAACATTATGTGAGCACACAGATCTAAAAAGAGATTTCTTTATGCATCAGAGTAACAAAAATGAACAAAACCTAATTTTACTTCTTTCCTTTTGCAGAAAAAATATCAATGCAGTAATAGAACAAATGGTATTTACCAAGCTCTTGTTATGATCCCAATTAATTTGCATGAGTTCATTTAAATCTTCCCTCATTTTTTTAACAGCACATGCTGTAGTATTACTTTCAGTATATAGATGAGGAAACTGAGTAACAGGGAGTTTACATAACTTACTTAAGTCAACCCAGCCAGTACATGGCAGAGCCCAAGCTACAAGTCTCTGGAATTCACAGATACACTCACTGTACTGTCCACCAGCCAGTAATTGGATTATAACATTTGGAAAAATTAATTTTTTACTGCCAGATCTTGGTTTCCTTTTTTTTGCATAGTGACGGCCTAGATTTTCTTCACAAACCATTTCCACCTATAAAATTATTCTGCTTGATGATTTATTTGCCTACACGGTTTTCCAACTTTATTCCTACTGTCTCACAATGGCTATTCAGAGTATCTTACACACATATGAGGTGAGTACTATTGCCAATGGATTGACTTTTAACATTTACTGGTCCTTCAGCTTCTTAGTGAGCATATGTGGTCAGAATTCTGGGTATTCCTCCATCAAAAGATGCACTTATTTTCAGACTCAGTTTTAAAATTAATCTTCTAAGCTACTCATAGTTTTATCACAATTCTGAACTTAAAGCAGCATGCAAACTTTAAGTATTAATCCAATACACAACAAGCTGTTGGACATTAGAAGACCCCAAAACTGTCCTTTCTTTTCACTGAGGCACACATGCATTTAAAATAGGGTTTATCATGCTGTGTTATGGTTACTGATTTATATGTCTTTTCCAACCTGCATAAAAGAACGCTTTGAAGGCAGGAATTGAATCTTGACTGGCACAATGTTTGGCAAAATAGTAAACACACAATAATATTTGCCAGTGTAAACTAAAAATGTCTTGATTTCATTCCTCATAAATCTGTTAACATTTGTCTCCCAGTCAATGCTAATCGTAACTAAAGCCTGAAGAGATGTGATGGGGTTCATGTTGTAGCCACACACTTTCCCCACTGCCTGCAGAGACTGTGGTGAGACAATTTAAGTAAAAGAGTGCCTAAGATTAACAATTGTAGAAATTAGAGAGAAATGGTTAAAGAAATTTACTCTAGTAACTTCCACAGAACCCATTAAGTATCTAATTATTATATTTTCCTCTTATATGTAAATATGATTTTAAAATTATGATTTAGAATTAGTCATATCTATGAGCATCTTCTCTTTGGCATTTATTTCTGCTTCTGCTTTTTCTCTAGGACCTTTTCACTGACTGAAGCCAGTTTTGGTGCCCTACTATATCAGGTTGAGCTAAGCCAACCATAGCACTATGGTACAAACTGGAAATGTTCTGCTGAAAGAACTTATATAATATAGTGAGAAAGATAATAAGTCTTGCTTTGAGTCTACCCTCCATGACTTACTAAAATTATCTAATTTTTTTCTGGCCTGGAAATTGGGACTGGTAACATAGTACATCCCCAGGTTTTTTTGATGATTAAATATGCTAAGGCATGTGAGTCATGTAGCACATCATTTGTTATTATAATTCTGCTTCTGCAAAGTTAGTTCTAACTGCAAAGTCACACTTGCCAACCAAACTTTACTTATGTTTCCTAACTTTAAGCACCAATTTGAAACATCCAAAAATTTCTCATAAGTTACTACAAAATCATTAGACCTACCACTACTCATATTCTACCTCTGAAGACAAAACTGCCAATTTTATAGTTATCTGAAATACGAACAACAAGATTAGAGGTATGGCAGGAGATGCATGTAATATTTCTGGCTACCTGCTGCTAGCTAATGTGCAGTACTACAACCAGAGATACCAGGTCCATCTACTATATCTGGATGCAGAATCCCTCCCAGGTGGTAAGGAAGTTTATCTTTAACCCCTTCCCTCCTGGCTCCACATGTTCCTCTCTCCCATACATAAAAGGGATGTCTATGGGAACTGTTTTACTGTGGATACTCATCAATATTTACACAAAGATCGTCTAAAGGACCATTCTTATGTGTTTAGGATTTGTTTAATTGTTTTTTTAGGGTTTTTCCCCCTCTCTATTGTTTCTTTTTCTTTTCTCTCTTGCTTAATCTGAGCCATTTGCTTTTGTAAAAGGCAGAAAAATATTTCAGTACAATCCCCTGTAACAGAGTAAGAGGTATGAATAGCATTCCTTACAGAACTGGAGAAAACAATCCTAGGTAACAAGAGAAAAGCAGGAGGCATCACTATCCTGGATTTCAAGTTATATTACAAAGCTACAGTGATTAAAGAAAAAACAGCACAATACTGTCACAAAAACAGACAGGTAGATCAATGAACAGAATAGAGGATGCAGAAAGAAACCCAGGGACATTCAGCTATCTCATCTTTAACAAAGGGGCCAAAAGATACACTAGAGGAAAGATAGCTTTTTAAATAAAAGGTGCAGGGAAAACTAGCTATCTGTATGCAGAAGATTGAATCTATGCCCTTATGTACTAAACTAAAATAAAAATGGATCAAAGATGTAAATGTTAAAACAAATATTTAAATCTCTGGAAGACAAAATAGGTAAGACTCTTGAAGACAGAGGTGTAGGCAAGGACCCTCTGAACAGAACCCCAAGCACACAAAAATAATAAAAATGAGCAAGTGGGATCATATCAAATAAAAAGCTTCTGCACAGCAAAGGAAACAACCACAGAGTGAGTGAAGAGATAGCCTAAGAATGGGAAAAAATTTTTGTCAGCTGTCGCTGTGATAGAGGACTAATACAGTGGACCTTGACTTACAAACTCAATTCGTTCCCGAGGGCTGGTCGTAACTTAAGTTGGTCAACTGCCTTCAAAGTCTCTCTCCTGAATAATTTTAGGCCATGCTTTCTTCCAAGCAGATCTCAGTGTCCTTAGAGAGACATTGGCCCAGGATTCGTCAATTAACACCACACAGGAAAGGATGTGGTAATGTTCTTTCCAGAACTCTTTAAGGGTTAAATCTGTGCCTGACACTATCTGGAAGCCCAAGTGGCTGACATTTGGGTCATAACTCAAGATTTCGGACATAAATTAACTAAAATTCCATGTGTAACCCAAGTTGTTCATATGTCAGGCTGGTTGTAACTCAAGGATTCAGTGACTGTAATAACAAATGCTGGGTAACTATAATAACAAATTCTGATAAGGCTGATGGGGAAAAAAACATCTCTACATTGTCGGTGGGAATGTCAACTAGTACAACCATTATGGAAGTAAGTGTGGAGAGTCCTCAGAAACAAAGTAAAATTCCATTTCACTCAGTCATTCTCCTTCTAGGCATCTTCCCTAAAGAGTTAAAGACATCATAATACAGCGACACACATATAACTATATTTATAGCAGTGCAATTCATAACAGCCACATTTTGGAAGGGGCCTATATGTTCATCAACAGATGAATGGATAAGACAATGTGGTATTCAGATAAAATGGAGTACTACTCTGTCATAAAGAAGTATAAACTTGAGTCATATGTAGAAACATACCTGGAGACTATAATGTTAAGTGAAATAAAATTATACATAAGCTTCACTATTGCATGGTTAGTCTTATATGAGAAATCAAAAATATAAAAGAAGAGCAAAATAAAAGAAAGACAATAGGATATAGGGAGACCGATTTTGAAATGGGAAGGAGACCAAAAGATGGAGGGGTGGGGAGGGAGTAGAAGGGAAAGTAAAAAGAACTGAGATGTGTTATGTAAATGTACCAACTCCGCATAACAAATGTAATTGTCATGTATGGCAAACATGTACTAATAAAAAGTAAAAATTTTTAAAGTGATAAGTAAATTAAATTAAGGGTAGTCAGAACACGTTGTTTCTAAAAATAACAGTTCTTTCCTTCTTTACTTACTGATTGACTTATTGATCACTCTTACTATGGCAGGCAGGATACAGCAGGCACACAGACACTCAGAGGGTCTGGTCTTTGCTTTCCAGGTGCCTGTGGCCTATTGTGATCTTAGGCTTAGAAACAAACCCACACAGCTGCCTAAAGAAAGGATGCCCAGGAAGCAGACAGTACTGGTGGAGAAGCACCAGTGTCCACTGAGTGAGCGAGGGAGACTGAGAGGAGACAGTTGGAGGTGGAGAATTTTAAGCAATGCTCATCCAGGTGGACAAAAGGATGACAGACCTTCCACATAGAGAGAAGGGCACGTGCGCATCATTTTAGGAGAGGCAAAAGCACTTGCGCTGTGTGATGAAGAGAGGTGGGGCCGGGACCTCTGTGGAGCACCTAGACAGCAGGACATTTGGTGTGAGTGCAAGAAAAAGGCAAAACTATTAAAAGGCATCTTCAAAGACTGTCTCTATTATATAAAGAGGAGCCATCCTGTCTCATGAATGCTATTTTTGGGAGCTATTTCTGAATGCATTTCCCCATAAAAAGTCCATAAATGGTTGTTAAATTCTCAAGACACTCTTCAAAAACCAAAACCACTTTTAAAACCAAGATGAATCAAAACCAAAGGACTGCTTTATTTATACCATTTTTAAATAAGCTTTGACTGTATCACCTACAGAAATTATTTTATAAATATTATATTTTATTTTCTCAAAGCAAACACACATACCTGAAAACCAGGCCACTCTCTTCTCCATATTTGCCTTGGAAATGTAAGAGGAAACACAAAAGCAGTGCTTTGGAAAGCCCTTCTCTCTATGGCATAAACTCTGCTCTTTCAAGAATAGGAGGTCAAAAAGTCAGGAACATATAAACCGGGAAGTCCAATCAATTGGATTAGAAACTTGAGGCCAGGAAAAACACAATGGACTTAGTATATCTGTTTTCCTCCCAAGAATTCCTGGGATACTATTTCATCCCCTTTTCCCTTTT